AAAAGGCCATTGAATTCTTGAGCTAAGCAGACAAAAAAGCAGTGCTACCAAAACCGGTTTGGCTCAGTGGATAGAATGTTGGTCTGCGGACTGAAAGGTCCCAGGTTTGATTCCGGTCAAGGGCATGTACATTGGTTGAGGCTGGTCGATGTTTCTCTCTCATAGATGTTTTTGGCTCTCTATCCATCTCTCTTCCTCTCTGTAAAATATCAATAACAATATATTTTTAAAAAGCAGTGCCATGACTTAAGGGTAGAGAAAAGATAAGTTGTAATAATCTACCACCAAACTCACATGTTCTAAACTGCTCCTCAAAATTGTTCCACCCACAGCTTTTCCTATCTCAAATGACAGCAATCCCATACTCCCAGTTGCTCTAGCCAAAAATGTTGGGAGCCTTTCTTGACTCTCACACCCCACATCCAATCCAGAAGCAAACACTGTTGGCTCTAACTCAAAATACATGCATACTATGACAACTTCTCACCACCTCCACTGCTACTACCATAACAGTAAATTGATCTCCCTGCCTCACTCTTATCCCCTGTAGCCTATCATGAACTCAGCAGTTAGAGCGATCCTTTCAAAATTTCTGGCAGATCATTTCATTCATCTCCTCAAAATCCTGAAACATCTCCCCATTTCACTCAAAGTCCATCTCATTACAATGGCTACCATGGTCACACAAACTGGCTTCTTCTTTAAAAAAAAAAAATATATATATATATATATATTTTCTTGATTTTTTACAGAGGAAGAGAGAGGGATAGAAAGTTAAAAACATCCATGAGAGAGAACCATTGATCAGCTGCCTCTTGCACACCCCCCACTGGAGATGTGCCCACAACCAAGGTACATGCCCCCGACAGGAATCGAACCTGGGACCTTTCAGTCCACAGGCGGACACTCTATCCACTGAGCCAAACAGGCTTTGGCTAAACTGGCTTCTTGTTATCTCCCAAATCTCATCTCCTACTATTCTCCTTGCTCAGTCCACTCCAGTCACTGTGGCCTGCTTGCCGTTTATCCAGCACGCAGTGTATGCTTCCACTCTAGAGCCTTACAATGGAGGTCTTCTCTGTCTAGAACACCTTCTCCCATACAAAATGGCTCATCATTTCTTAACCTCCTTCAGGTCACTGATCAAATATGATCTTATTTCCCAAATCATCTTATTGGTAAGTGCAAACATTCCTGCTCATCCTTATTTTACTCTACTTTTTCTTCTTCCCAGAGCACTTATCACTTTGCAACATAATGTATAATTTATTTATTATGTATACTGTCTACTCCTCCACTCCTGCCATAAAACAACCTCTAAGGCAGAATCTTTTTGTGTGTGTGTGTTTACTGATGTACCACAAGTACCTAGGACAGTGCTCAGTATATAACAGGTGTTCAACGAATACATTCTGAATGAACTTTTTATAACTGTGTCAGGTACTGGGCTAAGCACTTTATATTCACTATTTCAATAACTAGGGCAATCCTAGAAAGTATTCATTAACCTCATTTACAATGAAAACCATAGATTAAATAATTTGCCCAAAGTTACTTACTAGTAAATGAAACCAGGATTTAATTCTGCCTAATCCTAAAGCATTGTTAACCACTAGTTTTCTCAAAGTTGGGTATGAATGGGAAGAAAACTAAGCTACTTCAGGAAGTAACCTGGTTGAGAGTATGTGGAAGACATTGATTTGTGATCCAATATAAGGAGCAGAGGTAAATAATTACCATTTGGGAAAATTTCCTTCAGTTTTTACTTGCTTCTAGTCTTAGCCCCATTGAGATAGAAATATATATTATAGAAGCTGCCGGGACCGGTTTGGCTCAATGGATAGAGCGTCGGCTTGGGGCCTGAAGGGTCCCGGGTTCGATTCCGGTCAAGGGCATGTACCTTGGTTGCGGGCATATCCCCAGTAGGGGGTGTGCAAGAGGCAGCTGATCGATGACTCTCTCTCATCGATGTTTCTAACTCTCTATCTCTCTCCCTTCCTCTCTGTACAAAATCAATAAAATATATTAAAAAAAAAAAAAAAAATATATATATATATATATATATATATATTATAGAAGCTAATGGTTACCAGAAAGAGACCATAAAAAAAGAGGACGAGCCCTAGCTGGCTTGGCGCAGTGGACAGAGCATTGGCCTGCGGACTGAGGAGTCTCAGGTTTGGTTCCGGTCAGGATCACATGCCCAAGTTGTGGGCTCAGTCCCAAGTGGGAGGCGTCAGGAGGGCAGTTGGTCTATGATTCCCTCTCATCATTGATGTTTTTCTCTCTCTCCCTCTCTAAAATCAATAAAATAAATAAATAAATAAATATATATAAATATATATATATATTTTTTTTTTTTTTTTATTTATTTTTTATTTTTTTTTCCCCCCACCAAACAGGAGAAAGAGAAAAAGACCCATGAACTCTACAGATGAAAAAACATTGGTCAGTACTTTTTATCCAAATTCTCTGGCATACTTCATCCCAGTAGTATGGTGTAATATGAGCAGTTGTTTTCTTGTTTGCTTTAAAATGCTTTTTCCCCCTGTAGATTCTACTAGTGTAGTACAGGTGTTGGCAAAATTATATTTGAGAAATATATGAACCTACACATAAACATTTACAGATTTAAATCTAAAGATACTGATTTTTTTGGCCAGTGTTACCATTCTTGGAACACAGCCACACTCATCTGTTTACACATTGTCTATGGCCTCTTTTACACTCTTACAGCTGAAATGAGTAGTTGCAACAGAGAGCAAAATAACAATATTTAGTATATGGCCCTTTACAGAAAAAACCTTCTAAAACAAACATTAATGAAATGCAAGTTTCCTGATATCTTACATTGTTTTTTTATCACTTTTCCTGAAATATTTGAAAACACATACTAAATACTAGAATATGCCATTAAAACATTTTTGGTATTGTTGGTCATATAACTAAAAACATCTCAGAGGCTTAAGTCCAAAAATAACATGGTCTTCAATCCAGTAAACCTATGTCATTAAATTAATTCAAGCAAATATACTTCCTAGTAGCGTAAACACCATTTAATAGTTATTAAACACTTAAGACTTCAGTAACATTGGGATGTCAATTTTTTAAAATGTATTTTTATTGATTTCAAAGAGGGAGAGAAAGATATAGAAACATTGATGAAAAAGAATCATTAATTGGTTGTCTCCTGGGCGCTCCCTACTGGAGACTAAGTTTAAAACCCAGGCATGTGCCCTGACTGGGAATCAAATTGTGACCTCCTGGTTCCTAGGTCTATGCTCAATCACTGAGCCACACCAGCCAAGTGAGATATCAATTTTGAAATCAAAATAGTTTAGCATTAAAGTTGAAAGAAAAGGATTTATTTTGGTCTGGGTGTGCTGTATCTGAGCTACCATGTTCAACACACTTTAAGAATTCTGAACAAGGAAAACAGTAATTTCTTCAATTTAGTTATACATACATATGCCAAATAGACCCCCCACTCAACCCAAGGAAAAAGCAAAAATCATATAATGGCTTCAAAACTTTTGCCCTTAACCTCAGCTGGTTTTGCTCAGTGGATAGAGCTTCGGCCTTAGGACTAAAAGGTCCAGATTCCATTCTGGTCATGGCCATGTACCTTGGTTGCAAGCTCAATCCTCAGCCCAATCAACGTGTCTTTCTCACATCAATATTTCTCGCATGCTGCTGTGCACCTCTCCCTGCCCTACACACACTGCCAGTGCTTTCCCTCCAGCAGCTGCAGCTGCCTTGCTTTCCACTTTCCCTCCCTCTTCCTTCTATGCTGTTTTCAGCCTTCACTCCTCCCTCCTCGCATGACATCTTTGTTGGGTTAATTTGCATGGTCACTCTGATTGGCTGGTGGGCGTGGCTTGTGTGACAGTAATGGTTAATTTGCATATTACTCTATTATTAAGATAGATTCGTAGGTTAGATTTTTTACATTCTGTACCTATTTTCTCCTCTCTCTTTCCAAATTAATTTATCACTGACAAAAGATCAAACCTTATTTCATAAAATTAAAGAAAACAAAGAAGTCTTCGTTATATATATATACAGAAGTTAGAAATCCTTTTCCTACCTAATACAATTTTTTTTTTTTAGTTCCTCAAAGGAATATTCAGATATTTTTTATGTTTTACAAATAAAGTGATAAGTTATGCTATTCATGACAGAAAAGTAATTTAGCAATTTGATGGAAACACTGCAGAGGAAACAGGAGAAAAGTTAAATATAAAATAAGGTTAAAATATTCTTTTTAAAAATATTATCTTGAAGTTGACTTCTACATAAAAAGATGAACCAATCCAAAATATTCATTAAAATTTCACCAAAATCATAATATACATACATTAATATACATTAACTTAGTTTTTATCATATTAAAAATCACATAGCATTTTCTCAAGTTAAACAATTCTACTTATATTTTTAATCTTCAACATAAACTTCCAACATAAAAATTTTATGACATCTGTTTTTTCAGAAGCATTTTCTCAAAACAAATAAATTATTTCCAAGTTAAAATTTTCATGCTGCTTTTTTTCAAAATTAAATTACTAACAGAAGCAGAAAGCTACCCAGGAGCTATTTCTAACTATTATTAAATTTAAAGCCTAGCCTACAAAGCCTTTTCTCATTTTTCTCTTAATTTTTTTTTTACAGCACTGTACTCACAAATATTTTAGTTTAAAAAAAAAAAAAGATTATTTCCTGCCAAACATTTAAAGAAATTAAGTTTTGAATGTTCCGTGTAAGAAAAGCACACTACTCTCTTTAAATGCTAGAACTTTCTAAGATGAATGTTAATACACATGAAATCAGCAATGGAATGATATAAAAGTTTGAGTGATTTTTAAAAATTTTGTATCCTTATAATATGAAAACATATCCCTTTATAATCAGAACTACAACCTCTTTATTAATGTAAATCATCAGGTAATTTCTAATAAAACAACCTATAGTATTTCAAATTACAAAGAAATGTTTCCTACCTTGCCTGCTTCTCTTTCTAAGTCGACATATTCCCGGCTAGGTGTTTGTCGCTGTTCTCCCTGCCAGCTGGCCGGAAAAAACTGGAGAGACAGATTGGTTCCTGTGGCCACAAAAGCCTTTTAGAAAAATCAATACAAACAGGATCAGGAGCAGGACATTACATAAATTATGCAGACAGTCATTTATTTTTACATCAGTTTCTGTCTTAAGCCAGGCAGCACCGAGAATACTTAAAAGTAAAAAACATGCACTCATCATTTTTCTTAAGTATTAAGTTACAAACATCTGATTCCATTTTGAGGACATTTGCCATTGGCTGCTTAAATTTAAAATCAAGCCATGGAAATCAATACTTTCTTTCAAGTCAGTTTTTGCTGACGTTAGGATTGTGCATTGCTAATGTCTAACCAGAAGCTACCATCCCTGAATTTAAAAACTTTATTTTTTAAGTGTGAAAATCATTGAAGATTTAAACATTTTGAATTCTAAAATATATAATTTGAAGTTGTATAAATGGAACATTTTAATTTTTCTTGCTAGCCCTTGCTTTAAAGCACATGTTAAAAATGCACAGGACTGTCCACTTGTGATAAACCATACATTAGCATGTGCCCTGATAGCACTTCCCATTCTCTCTAAAATCTTGGATTAGATTAAAAATCACACAGCATTTTCTAAAATCTGACTTCAGGATAACTGGATCTGACTTTAACAAGAGTATTCATCTAATATTTATAAAAGATTAGGATAGCTCAACAGACAGAACAATCTAAATCCATTTCAATAAAGTGTCAATCTGTATAATCCCTGAGCAATTTAACTGTATTTCCCCCAAGTAAAAAAATGGAACACTGTCCCTTTTCCCCAAGGGAAATTAAGAAGTAAAAAGCATTTTGAAAAAACACACACACATTTTTCATCATCTAAATGTAAACTTTTCTTTGTTGGAATTTTTTCTTTTATTAAAATAGAATGTTTTTGTTTTATTATAACAATTAAAGTTGTAAAGCATCAAGTTTTCAAGCAGAGTCTTCATCTGAAAGTAAGGGTTCACATTTTGGCGATTTGTTCAAAGCCTTTAGCTGATTCAACTATCCTCTAGTTCCCCTGATGTTTAACAGCTTAGATTTTTCTTTTTAGAGGTAAAAATTATACTTCCTATTTTTATTACTGGTACCGTACATACAATTATCAACCTAACTGCTCAATTTCTACAGTTGTGATAGCATTTCCCTAATCAACTGAGATACCCTTTCTTCTGAACAGCCATCATTACAATATTAACTTTAAAAAATCTTATCCCGCCGAAACTGGTTTGGCTCAGTGGTAGAGCGTTGGCCTGGGGACTGAAAGGTCCCGGGTTCGATTCCGGTCAGGGGCATGTACGTTGGTTGCGGGCACATCCCCGGTGGGGGGTGTGCAAGAGGCAGCTGGTAGATGTTTCTCTTTCATAGATGTTTCTAGCTCTCTCTCTCTTCCTCTCTGTAAAAAATCAATAAAATATATTTTAAAAAATCTTATCCCACTATTAGCATAAGTTTAAAAAATAATCAAGTGAAATTAAATAAACAGTTTAAATTAAAAGCAGACTGCTAGCTGTTTCCTTAGGCAAGTTACTTAACTCTACCTCAGTTTCCTCACAAATTAATATTTGTAAAGAGCTTAGAACAGATCAAGTAAATGATATATAAGTACCTGCTAAATAAAATAAGAGAAATAATTTTGAGCTAACTTTTTCCACCCTCAGATAATTAAATTCTCAGAGCAGAGTGGTGGCAAATAAGAGATTCACCAATGACATGAAGCCTTGTATCAAAATCTCCCAGGTAAGTTTCTTCAGTACTCAATAACAAATCCTTCCACCCACTGTACCCCAAATCAGCTCTATGCTCAGTAAAAACAGTCTACAGATCTTATTACCTCATCTCCTGTCTGAAAGCCAACCTCAGAAGAGATTTCCTGCTTCCTCACTTTATGCCCATTATCTCATCAAGATCCCTCTCTCTGAGATAGAAATGATTAAAAAAAAAACACACAGATCATGCTAGAATAACACTTCCCAAATTTATTTGACCACAGAACTCTTTAATGGAATACCTATACATACATGAGCTCAGGAAATTATATTTGAAAACATAAAAATGCTACACCAGTATCCCTGTCTATATTAAGATTTCCAGATTGCCCTATTTGTTATAGATTTCATAAATTATAAAACAGCACACATTGTGCAAATCCAACATACCTTTTATCCTTCCATTTTCAGGATTAAAAATATACGGTTTTGTCCTGGCCAGGTAGCTCAGTCAGTTACAGCATTGTTCTGACACCCCAAGGTTATCAGTTCAATCTCCAATAAGGGCATATACCCAATGAATGCATAAATAAGTGGAACAACAAATCAATCTCTCACCACCCCATCTCTTTCTCTCAAAACAATAAATTTTTAAAAACATACATATGGTATTCACTGCTCTCCCAGTAGAGTCACCATACCTATCATAAGTATTTTTATTTATTTATTAATCATTAGTGTTGAAGACATCTCCAACACTTTTACTACAGTAAGAACTTACCGGAGGAATAAATCAGTTTATCAAATAGATTTTATCCCTCACTCATGATCACTTTTATTCATACTACCTTATAGTTAAGAAGAGATGAGCATCACAGAACTTAGATTAGGAATAATTGTGGAAAACATGAATATTTTTACAATATATAACTGCTGTCAAAATAGAGGCCAAAGAATACCTTTTCCACATCTATTTTTCATAACCAAATAGGTAAAAGCTACTGCCTATTTATAAGTCAAAAGACAAATTTTAGGCATTACATTAAGTAACATCTAAACTGAATTAATCACGTATCTATGATGCAAAAGGCATTGTGCAAAGTACCTGCAGAGAGGGGAGTATATTAATGAATATAACCACAAGGTCTCCACCCTTTGGAGATAAGAATACTGTAATTTACATGTGGAAGACATGGAATTAAAGGGGGAAACTAGAGAGGGTAATGTGAAATCCCTTACCAAATGCAAATAGTTACATTATTCAACAAATTAAGACACATATGCCATCTTCAGAGCAAATCTTTCAATGCACCTTCAACTTTCAATACTTGTCGGATATTAAGAACTTATTAAAACTTGCAGGATGAAATATTTGGAAGAGAGGAAGAACTAGAATATCTGTCTGATTTATCCCTGGAAAGAAATTTATGACAAATACATGCCACCTATAAATATCACAGCAACATTATAGTACAGTAATTCAGATACACTTCGGGTTGAATTATATTCCCAGTTCATAAATACATGCAGTAAAGTCTGATATGAGAGAAAAACTGTTAATAGCTATTCTTCATTTGGTTTAAAAAAAAACCAAAAACCCTCAGCTTTAAAAAAGTCCTGACAATAGTTTGTATCTCAACTTTTACATCAATTACCTCCAGGAAACCCACTGGTTAGGTATACCTTTTGCAAAAGGAAGCACATGCAAAGGATGATACAATTACGTGACCGACTAATAAATGATTCTTTTACCACTCAATAACAAAACCAAAAAATATTTGTCTTACACATTATATCATATGATTACAACTACTCAAAAAATTTGGCAGTGGGCTGAAAGCAGGAGCTTTTCTTTCATAACATGCAATAATCATCAACTATTCTAGAGCTCCTGGTAAATTTAGCCAGTATCTTCTCATTTTCTGTAATATGATTCTAAAAAACTTTCATTTTAAATATGGAAATAACCTTTAGAAATAAATTTAATTTTGGTGAAGAGAGAGAATTTAATGGTATGTAAATTACATCTCAATAAAAATAAATACGTAGATGCTTTATAAAGGAGGTGGTGAAGTAAATGTGCCAATATGTCCTCCTATTGTTAACCCGAACTGCATAGTAGCTTCAAGTCTCTTCAAATGCAATGGGCCCAATCACGGAGTAATTATTGAATTCCATCACATAATATTTCAACTTTTTTTTTTTTTTTTTTTTTAAATAATCAACCTTTCCTTTTCTTCCTATCCATTCTCTGGCTTCTTCATTCCCCCCTTCCTTAGCATCGGACAAATCAAAAGATCAGGGACACTAGAACACTTTAATTTTTTTTCTCCTTTTAACATTAGGTTTGATGGAGGCAATGCACTAAATCTACCACTTACAATACGGCCTCAAGATCAACTGTGGTTTTTGAAAATCCATGCAGCACAAACGGGGTGTGCTTTTTAGCTTTGGAAAAAAAAGAAAAAAAAAAGACGATAATGGTTTCTCTCTGATTCTCCTAGGGCTTAACATTCTAAGAAAAGATCGCGGCATGTTCCTTGGGTCATTTCTTCTTCTCCTTCTCTCTAAGGACAATAGATAACTGGCGTCAAGATTTATTCTTCTTAGTTCTCCTGGGCAATGAAAGCGCTTCACCTACAGACTTACCAACTAACTCTATCGTCCTGGAGCCAGATCCTTGAATGAAGCCCGGTTCTTTTTTTTCCCGAATGGGGTGTTTTCTTGCTTAGAAACACCCTTTCCCTGACCCGAGAGCCTACACCTAACCTTCCCCGGGGTTCGTCTGCCTCCGGTTTGTTCGCGCGGACGGCAGTTTACCGAGTCGCGCGTCTGCGAGGCAGACCCGCCGCCGCCGCCGCCGCGGGCCCCGGGGAAGCGTCTCCGCGCGAGGAGGACGCGCGGCCGCCGGGCTCCGCTTTCGCAGTTTGAATCCCGAGTAGGAAGTAAGACGCCGCCGCGCTCAGTTCCGGGGCCCGCGGCGTCCGGAACCGACCTGGGCCGCGGCGGCCCCCGCGCAACAAGTGACCCGCGCGCGCCCCGGCGCCCCGGGGACCCCGAGCCCCCCGCCCCCCGCCGACTTACGATCTCCGAGCGGCCGTCGCGGCAGGCGTTCTGGAAGCGCGCCTGGCGCTCCTCGTGGGGCCGGTCCCTGAAGCCCGTGTACTTAATCTGCAAGGCGGACACACACAGCCCGAAATCAGGAGCCAAATCCGCGGCGGCGGCGCCGCCCGCGCGCCCGCCCTCCCGCCCGCCGCCCCGCGCGACGCCGATAAGGACAAGCAGAGCCTGCGGGCAGACGGCGGCCCCGGCGAGATTGCCCCTCGCCGCGGGAGCCGGCGCCGCGGGGTCCCGGGGAGGGGTCCCGGGGGCCTCCCGGAGGGCCGTGCCGCCCAAACTTTTCTCCGCCCGGGCCCACTCGGGGCGCGCGCCGCGGCCTCCGCGCCGTCCCGCCCGCCCGCCCGCCTCACCTCGCATTCGCGGCTCAGCTTCCTGAAGAACTCCTCGTTCTCGAACTTGCTTCTCTGGTCGGGCACGACGCGCGGCATCTTCCCGCCCTTTGGGTCAGACCGCGTCAGGCCGGTCGGGCTCCGGGGCTTAGCGCGGGCCACCCGCTGGCCGGCTCCGCGTGGACCGACTGACTGACCGCTGCCCGCGGAGCCCTTTGTTTGAGGCGCCCGCGCGCGTGGGCTCTGGCTCCCGGGGTCTGAGGTGGTGGTGGTGCCGCCGCCGCCGCCGCCTCAGCCGTTGCCTGCCGCCCGCGCGGACCCAGCACCCGCCGCCCCCGACCGCCGCGCCGCCGCCGCCGCCACTTCCTCTCACCGCCCACCTCGCTGGCCCGCCGGCCCCGCCCCCGCCGGCCCCACCCCGCCCCTCGCGCGCCCGCCCGCCCGCCCGCCCCAAACTCCGGCAAACAAAACGTACCATTCACAACTCCGCGGCCCGCGCCGCGCATGCGCCGCCCCGGCCTGCGGGCCGCTAGGTGGCGGGGAGCCTAGCTCCTCCCTCCGCGCGGCCCTCCTCCCCGGGGCTGACCCCGCGGGCCACTCATGGTGGGACCGCCCCGTGGGGATCCGCCCGGTCCGTGGAGATGGAGCGGTTCCTTTCTTTTCGACCGGCTGGGACTTTTGGACTTCCGAGTCGCGAGGAAATTTAAGTCTTTGGGGGACATTACGCCTCCAAACCGAAGGGGATGGGTGGGTGTGAAACGTGCAATGCAAAGACGAAAGGTGGAATCAGACCAGAGCATCCCCACTTGAACCCAGGTCATGATGGAAAGATCGGAGCTGTGAGTGTCAGTCAGAAGGTCCTAGGTGAGATCTTACTGGACTCCCTTGCCTGCTGACTGGAGCTTTAGATGAGACTTTGGGCCGCTCAGCCTGTTTGCTCATTTCCAAAATCCAGACTTGAACAAGTTCACAGTATTAGAGAGCTTTGATGTAGGTCTAACACATAATGAGCACTCGATTAAGTTACGTTTTTAAAGGATAGCAAGCTGGATTTATAAATGTATCCTAATGCCAGTCCATACCTTTACTCAAATGTGCAAACAAATCCCAAAAAATTCACAACTTCTAGGAGTCATTGAGCCCGAGCTGTAGAGAGTCTGACTTGAGGTTTATGACAGACCTTGACTCCAAGTTGATCCTCAATAAATTCTGATCCTTGCCCTACCCGGTTTGACTCCAAGTTGATCCTCAATAAATTCTGATCCTTGCCCTACCCGGTTTGACTCAGTGGATAGAGCATTGGCCTGCGGGCTGAAGGGTCCTGAGTTAATTCCAGTCAAGGGCACTTGCCAGGGTTTCAAGCTGGGTCCCCATTAGGGGGCATGCAGGAAGAAGCCAATGATTCTCTCTCATCATTGATGTTTCTATCTCTCTCCTCCCTTCCTCTCTGAAATTAATAAAAAAATATATATATATATTAAAAATTCCGATTATTGCCCTAGCTGGTTTGGCTCAGGGGATAGAGCTTCGGCCTGCGAACCAAAGGGTCCGGGTTTAATTCAGGTCAAGGGCACATGCCTGGGGTTGCAGGCTCAATCCCAGATTGGAGGGATGCAGGAGGCGGCCAATCAATGATTCTCTCTCCTCATTGATGTTTCTATCTCTCTCTCCCTCTCGCTTCCTCTCTGAAATCAATAAAAAATATTTTTAAAAAATTCTGATCCTTGAAATTCCAACTTGTCAAAAACTGAGTCCAAGGATGGCAAGTGGTGCCAACTCTGATTGACAGTAACTGGCCATATTGCAAAGGATTGTGAAGAGACACCTAAAGTCATGGGAATTAGTGCCCAGAGCAATTTGTAATGTCTGCGTGAACACAGTTTGGCTGAATTTCCCACCCTTGTCTAGCCCTATCTCATGTTTATAGATATAGTACTGAGTTTGAGTGACCAACTGTCCTGGTTTTCCTGAGACTGTCCTATTTTAGCAATGAAACACCCATGTCCCAGGAAATCACCCACTCCCAAGCAAAATGGGATGGTTGGTAACCCTAACTGAGGTCCAGAAAGTGATCCATCACCCAAGTTCAGGGAGGGAATTGTCAGCAAAGTCAGACCTGTAGGCTGATGGTTTTAACAAACACACTCTTTCTGAATAGTAAATAGAGAGTCTATTCCTTCCCAGGGCATGCTTCTCTGTCCATACCAAGCATGTGTGAATGAATGTATGTTTGTACACAAATAGAATAGATATGGATGTCAACAACCACTATTGTTGGGCCTCCCTCTTTCTCAGAATCTTCCTCTCAGGTCTTCTTCAATTGCAAGTGACAGAAACCCAATTCAAGCAAATAGAGCTAAAAAGGGATCTGTTGCTGGGACCGGTTTGGCTCAATGGATAGAGCGTCGGCTTGGGGACTGAAGGGTCCCGGGTTCGATTCCGGTCAAGGGCATGTACCTTGGTTGCGGGCATATCCCCAGTAGGGGGTGTGCAAGAGGCAGCTGATCGATGACTCTCTCTCATCGATGTTTCTAACTCTCTATCTCTCTCCCTTCCTCTCTGTATAAAATCAATAAAATATATTTAAAAAAAAAAAAAAAAAAAAAAAAAGGGATCTGTTTTATTTTAAGTAAATAAATCACAGAGAGAGTCTCTTTTTTTATTCCTCCATTTCTTCTGACTCCTTAGTGCTCTCAAGTTCTCTTGATGGCATTAATTTCTTGGCAAAGGATGGGAACAGCCATTTTTCCATTGCCAAGTCATAAAATTCCTGGGAAGGTCTTTGATTAGCCCAGGTCAGATACTCTCCCCTCTGCCAAATCATTATATCCAGGCTGATGTGATGACACTGACCAGTTTATGTCATATTTGCTTCCATCTAGACTTGGGAGTCTGGGTTTGACATCCTCAGAGAGAACCTGATGGTTGAAAGAAGGAAAGAGCAATTTTACCCAAAGGAAGGAGTGGGAGTGCCTGTGGGTCCACTGAACAGTTTGTATCAGCTACATCTGGCAAAGGATGTCGTTTTTATTTTGCTGCCTAAAGGCTCTGATGAAACTGGAGGGGGAAACTCCACATCAGCACAGGCAAAGTGCAGACAAAACCAGCCTTCAAACATCTGCAACTTATTTTGAGAGGTGAGTGAGGCAGCTTCGTTCCCAAGGCACCGAGGCAGAACTAAGTCACTCACAGTAACAGAAGCTTTCATTCATCTGCTGCCTCTGTCTCAAGTCTTCCCATTTCAGCTAAGCCCTTTGGACGCCAGGGCAACACAACCATTGTTCAGTGTTTCTCAAACTTTTGACATAGTATGTGTACCCCTTCTATAATTTTCATAACGCTGAGTACCTCTCATACTCATGAGAACGTAGAATTAGGTGCAGCTAAGCCCGGTGCAGTGCATATCCCCACCAAACTCCGGTGCAACACGTACCCCCACCAAACTCTTCCCATACCCCTGGGGGGACGCGTACCACACTTTGGGAAACACTGGGAGAGGCAGGCAATGGCTTTGCTTCCAGTCAACAAAGCCTGTCTGAGGCCAGTGGCCAGGGGAGCAGTTTCTGCTGTTGACTTCCAGGTGATACCACTCAGCACCACCATATTCTGTTTAGGTAGACGGCTGTATAAAACTCTCCATTTCTGTCTCTAAAAAATGACCCAGAAGCTGAAACTGGTTTGGCTCAGTGGATAAAGCATCAGGCTGCGGACTGAAAGGTCCCGGGTTCTATTCCAGTCAAGGGCATGTACCTTAGTTTCGGGCACATTCCCAATAGGGGGTGTGCAAGAGGCAGCTGATCGATGATTCTCTCTCATTGATGTTTCTAACTCTCTATCCCTCTCCCTTGCTCTCTGTAAAAAATCAATAAAATATATATATTTAAAAATAAAAATAAATTTAAAAAAAGGACCCAGAAAGCAGCACTTTTAATCCACAGTGGGTCCAGGTGGGGCTCCCAGACCTGCTGTTGATTCTGGTCTTCGGACTCCAGTATTAATTGTTTCTGCCATGGGAAATGTGGAATAAATAGAAGGTGAAATGACCCTAGAGTGGCTAAGATGCCCAGGCAGATACCATGAGCTCTGACAAGGAAAAGCGCAAGGTCAAGGCAAATTTTTTTAGGTTCAAGGGAGCTGGAGGGGAACCATGAGAGTGCAGAGCAGGGCAGAGTCCTCCGTCAGCCTCATGGGGGTGGGAAATGATGTCCTGAGGGAAAGGGATGAAAAAGCCTGCCAGGCCAACCCAGAACAGCAACACCACAGACAGCCTTTGGCAACTCCAAGCCACAGGGTAACCCACACTCGGCATTGTCTGGCATCCAACCAGCCAGGATGACCGGAAAACTAGCCACAGGCTGAAGGAAGTCATTGCCTCAGCTGACCTTTACATACCTTTTTTTTTTTTTTAATTAAAATTTTCACTTATTTTTAAAACGGATTTAAAGGAAATTAATACATGAAAGTTTCACCCAGGTTAGCTATATTTAGCTCTGTGCTTCTGACCATCTGGGTTTGGATTAGCAAACCCCTCCACGGCACCCTGCAATCCCAATCAGCTCTGGGAGGGCCACCAGATGGATGCCTGAGGGCATTTGTACCTAGAAACACCCTCCTCCTTCCCAAGTCTGGCTGAAATCTCTGAAGCTCCGCTGCTTGGAGCCTTCCTTTCCTAAGGATTCAGCCAGCCCAGGGCCTCCTTTGCCTCACCTTCTTGGGTGGGCAGCTGCTCCCGCCCAAGGACTTCCAGACTGATCTGGAGTGGGTGGGTGGGAATGCACTGAACAGGGGATGGGAACCCTCAATTGTCTGGTCCAACCACGAAGATCTGAGCTGGGTGCTTACATGTCCCTTATCTCAGTTAATTCAAGCAACCACCTTCTAAGACAGGTCTTTTTTTTTTAATTTTATTTATTTATTTTAAAAAATATATTTTATTGATTTTTCACAGAGCGGAAGAGAGAGGGATAGAGAGTCAGAAACATTGATGAGAGAGAATCATCAATCAGCTGCCCACTGGGGATGTGCCCGCAACCAAGGTACATACCCTTGACTGGAATCGAACGCTCTATCCACTGAGCCAAACCAGGTCTTCTTGCCCCCATTTGACAAATGAGGAAACTGAGACTCTGAAAAGGTAAATAAGTAACCATAAGACTGTGATAAGATCCTGTCTCATTAGTGATAACAAAATGCCTTGGCATCTTTGTTCACTCCTCATCATAACACTACAAGTTTGGTATTCTTCTTTTTCACCCTATTCTACAGATGAAATTGAGGCTCCCAGGAGCTGATGGTCCCAGGGTCATGCTCTTAACCATTCCACTCTGAGGTCTCTGCTGGTGGAGATGCCACAGTTCTT